GGGTCCAAGATTTGGAAACTTAACGGACACTGTTTTGCTGAGAAAAATTAAAAAATAATAGAGAAATTATTTAATAGAAATTTTATTAAAGAATAAATAAGTTAAAATTGCCAACAAATTTACCATTCATTAGTGCTTATCTCTATGGAGGGGGATACTGTTGTCACAAGTCACAAGTCGCAAGTCACAACTTAAATACCAAAGCATTGGGAAACTTAACGGACACCCTTTTTTTTAAAATAAAAAAAAAAGTTACTTATTGAAAATTGTCAGAACATATATAAGTAAAAATTAATTGCCAACTAATTTCCCATTCATTTACTATAGTATTGAGCTGTCTAAAGAAAACTATTGTTCCCTACCGAACACCACCTAAGAAAAATTTCAGTGTAATGTGTTACCACGATTATAGGTTTTTAAGTGATAACTTCAATGAATTTAAAGATATTTTAACATAGTGTAAAAATTATGATGTGAGACATTAAAAAGTTTAGACTTTATTTAGTATGGGTTTAGTTTTAAGTTTTTATCTTTTTATATATTTAATAATTATTATTATATTTAGAAATTAAAATTTATTAAAAAAATTTAAATTTCTTAAAGTTAATTTAAATAGCACACTAGTTATTAAATATATAAAAAATAAAAACTAAAACCAAAATTACATTAGACAGAGTTTTAGTATTTTATACTATTTCCATTCAATTTTAATAATAGGTTTAGCTTGATTTTTAATTTTTTGGACATTATTTTTAAATAAAAATTTAACTTATTACATTAAAAAATTAATTTTTTTAATTAAATAAAATTACTCAACAAAATTGCACATAAAAATTTTAATTATCATTTATATATTTCATTAAATTTTTTTCTAAAATTAATATCTAAAAAAAATTAAAAAATCAAATTAAAATAATTAAACTTAAATGAGAAAATGTTATATTATAGAGTAGAGATTCATTTATATATAAATTTTACATATCATATTTATATAAATTTTCAATTAATTATTTATTTGCTTTTAAATAAATAAAATTTGTTTATATTTATTAAAGTTAATTATTTTTATTAAAACATTATAATAAATTTAACTAATAAAATTTTATATAAAAATAATATATAAAATTTACATGTGTACAACTTCTCTTTTATATAATATTATGATATAAGAGAAAAAAATCACGTGGTATGGTCATTAAAAGTCCGCTTCCCATTAATTGATTTCCGTCCTCAATCCCGTATATGGTGGTACAATCTTTATTTATTATTATTATTTTTAACATATTTTCCAAGTTGCGAGTTTCGAACCCGTCCGATAAAGAAGAAAATGCACCAACTGGCTAATGACAGTAGACTTCAAGGACTAGGTGCGTGGTACAATCTTTATTAATGAAAGATGCCGTCGATTTTAATAAATTTAGGTTTGAATTAATGGTGGGCCACGGTGCAGTCACTCCCTTGAATGCCGCAATGGAAAGGTAATTGCTACAGTAGTACTTGTGAATTTAATAACATTAAAAATCATTTCTGTAACATTGTAAAAAATAATATTATCTATTTTCAGTTTAAAAAAATAAATTTTATATTTTATATTTTAAATTATACTAAATTATAAAATTAAATCCCTTAAATAAAAAAGGCCCAATGTCAAAGAATCCTCTTATAATTTAAAAATAAATATTTTTACAATTTGATATGGTATTTTATCTGAAAAATAATTTCTTTTTTAAAAACATTCATAAAAATCTCCCAATTTTTAAAAAGGGCCAAAAACACCATCCTCTGTTGTTGATGGACGCGTAACACCGTTGATCCATAAGTTAAAACCTCCAAATTTAAACTCTAAATTAACATTTGCTGGTCCCCCAACTTTCAATTCCCATGCATTTTGATTCTCAAACTTCAGATTTATTCAATTTAGTTCCTAAACTTTCGAAAGGGTATCACTTAAATCCTAAATTTTCTAATTTCATGCCTTCCATTCCTTTTTTCACAAATAATAAAAATCATGTACAATCCAAATTAGAATTACTTTCAACTCATCCAAAATTAATGCAATTAAGGCTAAAATAGTAAATTTAGTAAAATATATAAAATTCATATAACTAGAGTGAAAAATCAAGTGTTTAATGGCTAATTTGAGATTCTTATAAATGAATTTAAAAAAAAAATTAACTCTCTATATACACATAACTCACATAAAAAAAAAAAAAAGAATGACAATATGATAAAAAAGGGTAAATAAGGGAAGATACTTATCTTTTTTTCTTTTTTATACAATTATAACCATAGAAACAACACTTAAAGTTATCATCAGTCCTTGATATTCTCACGACTACATTTACCCCCCATTTGCAAGTCTATCCACCCAAATAGGCTTCAATCTATCGATCCATTTTGTAAGCCCATATTTATTTATTTTTTTCTTTTTCCTAATAGTTTGGTGAAATTGTAATTTTGTGGAAACCCTAGATATAAAATAATATTTAAAGACTTCAAAAACCCTAGATCTAAAATTCATTCTCTCTCTTTTACTACAAACTTTTGTTTCCTCTCTTCTAATCTTTGGAAATTTTCTTTAGATCTGTTAATTCCATTGTCATCAAACTTTTTTTTCACTACCAATTTCATAATAAAGACCCCTTGGATGAACTTCACAAGGAAATATGGGGTGTTTATGAAGATCTCTCAAGTTCCAAACTATCATTTGATTCTTCTTCTAATTATGAATGGATTTTGATTATTGTAAAATTGTTATTGTATCAGTTGAAATATGAGTGGATTTGAATTGCATTACATTGCAAGCAAAACCTAGTAGAAAAAAATTGTTAAGATCAAAGATTTCAATAGTTTTAGTCAATAGTAGATCAAGCCTTTGATTACCATTCAATTTTGGTTGGTAACTGATTATCAAAATATTGTGTTGGGTATATGGTATTGATTCCTGCCATCAAATATTGTTCATAAATGGTTACTAGAAAATTGGAGCAGTATAGTTACCATACTATACCATGCCCACCCTAAACCCTAGGTGCTACAAGTGATAAAAACATTCATTATTATTGGTTGTAAGTAGGGATTGAAGCTTAGATTATTCTTCTCGGCTTGTGAAAAGAAGCTAGTAGGGTTAGGTAGTGTTGGGTGATGTTTTTGGTTTTATTTTTTCTCTTAACTTGCACTCGGGTTTTGGTGAGCTTTATCAAATTTGATAGAAATGGGGTAAAACAAAAGCATGGGTTTGATTGAGAAAAATATCACATACAAAATAAATAATGTAATAAATATAACATATATAATACATCATTCTAATTTTGACATTTTATGTTTCAAGGACTTATATATGAAAATCAAGAGTTTGTGGCCAAAAAATTGAAAAGAAATATTGAAGGGAGAGGAGTTGAGTGAAGAAATCAAGGAAAAATGGGACTACACTATTCTATGGGGCAAAATAAAGCCTTAACACGCAAAAACCAAAGATTATATAGACCAAGGACATAATCAACCTAATGCTACATTTGCAGCTCAACGTGATAGCGCCCAAATCATTAAAACCCATAGACCCTTTGTCAATTAAAACCCAGTCATACCCAATACACAGCATTCTGTATGTGTACAAAATGCACCGTTTCACAGTAGATTATTTATACTTTTCTTTTTTTTTGAACCTAAAGTATCAAGGGAAGAGGATTACAAATAGAAAGGGTAAGATTCAAAACTAACACTATTGAGATGAGGTTGTCTTCTACAACATATTAAGTGGCCATTTATACCAATGGGAGTTCTCCTACCCTTTTTTACTTGAAAAAATTCATTACTTCTTCTTCCCCCTTTTTGTTTTTTTTTCTCTCTCTCTTTCTTTTTTCTATTCATCTCTCCAACCCTCTGTAACCCGAATCTTCTATAAACACTTGTCGTCGTCAAATGGTCACCCAACCACGACCATTGTGAGGCCAATCAAATGGCTACGGAGCTATTCTTGTAAACAGGCTCCCAAGCCACTTTTTTTTCACTTGTGGTTGCTGCCTTCACTAATTGCTTCTTCAATCAAGGCTAAACTTTCTAGCTGCCTATAACAAATTAAGATGCTTGTCAGCAAAACAATATCCCAAAAACAAAATAATTTTTTGATTTTTCAATTGTTTTTTTATTTTTGCCATCAAATAGAAGACTTGCTGGCAATTTTTTTTTTTTTTTAATTTTCCCTTTCAACACCATAAGACTCAATCAAGTTACCATCAAGTTGCATTGCCACTAAAGCAAGAAAAGGCAAAAGAAAAAAAAAAATAACTCCTAAACTTCCATTGGAGGAAGACACATGATGAAGAAAAGAAACAAAATGAGAAAAATACGCAATAAGGAGGAAGAATTAGAAGAGATAGTTGTTGAGT